CAGCATCCGAGCATCCGGGCCCAAGAACTCACTGTCGCCAAGTTGGAGGAGTTGACAATGGAGGCAATGGGAGGCTTCTTCAGCGACAGGGCCAATCCCAACCAAGCGAAAAAGAAACCCTTTTTAAAGGAGATCTTCAAGGTTGCTAAGGTCGAAGAACAGTATAAGAGGGGTGAAATAGGTTAGCTACAACGTTTATGGTGTGCTAAATCTGGGGGAGTATTCGCTAACCTCACCAGATGGCGATACGGTCGTATACGTCATGGCCGATAACAACCAATCAGACTTCCCCTCCGACGATGAAGACGATGCGTGTAGAGAGGAGGATGACGAGCACCATCTTTCGGTAATTTCATCCCGACTCTCGCCTCCCAAGACAACTATGCCTCACGCCCTCATGCCTATTCCGACAACTGACCACAGCCCGACTACCAACATTCAACCAGGCTTCGTTAGCGAGATGTCGATTAGAAATCAATATCCGACTACTCTGATGCCGCCAGATCTCACATCTGACCAGCACTATGTGGAAAATGGGGGGATTCCGGTGGGAGGTCAAGCATCTCTGCAGCAGCACGGAGCGCCTGTTCAAATGCAGGAAATGATACCAAGCCCTCACGAAACAAGCCGTCGACCGTCCCTGTTCAGCTCGCCGTCCGACTACGCAAGCACTTCTGCCTCCGGGCTGTATCCCGGTGCTTGGCAGCAGACTACAACAGCTCCAGGTAGCGCGCCCATATATTCCTTTGGTACTTCCAGTCAACAGCCTCAACAGCCGCCGCACCCGCCACTCCCTCACCCTCAAGGAACCTTTGTTTCGCATCAGGGGGTACAAATAGGTCAGAATCAGCCACCGTACATGGGCTCCTCGTTTGACACGCTCCCTCACACAAATAACGGTCTTTTCCGTGGCCCCAACGTCAGCCAAGGTTCTGTGTCCCATGGGCAAAACTATCCGAGCTACATGCATCATGATTCCAGAGGCTTGCCGGGTGACATGAAGATGGATCCATCTAATCGCGGGTTACCGCCGCATTGAGGTGGAATTGGCTAGCGCAAGATTGGTTCCCTTTTGTCATTGTTGTTTGCGTGAGTCGACGGATTCCCATCAACATCACTGTTTCCTATCTTCCTACGCGTCCTAGATGGCGGAAGGGGCATATTTCTGCAATGTCACGCTGGTCAACAGGACAGCGCCCTTCCTGATGCCGGCGCAGTGATTTCCACCTCATGCATACATTTACCCTAATATGTATTCGGTACACCTCTCATGATATTGCATCAACGCACACGCACACACGATTCGATACATTGCTATAGCCAAGCAATTGGTAATTATTTGGACGGATGGAATAGGGGAGTGGAAAAGGGTACACGGTGGTGGTCAGAGCAAGGAAAGAGATGTCATCTATGGAAGACATGGTGCCATCTTACCCGAGACCTTTTGCGGTCGTCGATATGGAACAGAAAAGGGGGCCTGTTCCTCCTGGTTGAATCTCTCTTCATCCGGATTCGCGTTATCACTTTTCTTGTTTTTCTGTTTGCAATTCCAGCGTTCAAAAAGCCGGAGGTTGTGCGTTATTTGTCTGCGAGTTTAGGACTCGGCGGCTGATAGTGTGTTTATCGTTCTTTCTCAGTCTGTGTGGTGCCCTTCCTTTTTATCGCGTCTCTTGAGTCTTTGCTTTTTTCCAGGCGCCACACAAAGTTTGCTCTTTTCCAAGTACAACATCGCTGCGTGGGTGGCCAATCTGTCTTTTTCGTTTACACAATGGCGCATGTGAGCTTATTAGTTGATCTATTCCCCCCAAGGTTGTTTGAAACGGGGCTCTGGACTGGTTAGGCGGGTGGCCTTTTGTCGAATTCGTTTGTTAGTTTCTGCATAGCTAGTATATTGCTTATCTGATCGCATGTTGTTTTTAATGCCTTGCTGTCGTCATGTTTGTTGCTGCCACGGTCCAAGTGCCCACATGTTGCTGCCCTTCATCTTTACACACTGTATGGCTTCTGCGAGTCTTGCCAATCAATACTGCTTGTATTTTATTCTTTACCTTTGTCATGCACCCATCTCCCACTCAAGCATGATCACGAAAGTTGAGCTTTTCAGTGAGCCTCCCTTGTTTGGTCGCAGCTTTTGCGCCCAACTTAACTCGCCTACCCATTCCCATGCCTCAGCCTTCGGGCAGACAGGCGGAAGTTTCCCAAACCGGCCCCAAGAGCTGCATGTGGAACATCATCAACTATCACTAACTCCTTCTCCATAATACTCAAGCTCCCCTAGTGCAATCATCTTTGGCCTCTTGCCCAAAGCCCAAACTAACCGACCAAATCCACCCGGCGTCACCGGTCTTTCACGTCGTATAGCGCATCGGGTCACTGCATGAGAACCGAGGTCTGCTGAGCCATCAAGACATTATACTTGACACAAGGACCGCTGTATGAGGTTATGTGAATATGTACGTATGTCTGTTTCTGGACAGTCCCGTGGTGGTCCGTGGCAAGCAGTGGCAGGGTCATGACCATAACCACCGTGTACATATATTGGTGGGTTGCGCGCCTCAAGGACCAAGGCGGAGAGCCGTCACCTACCTCCCGGGCCCCGAGGATACGGAGAGGGATGGAGGGGCCAAGCAAAGGGTACCTAGGAGGTGTGGAAGATATGGAACTGTAATTTTGATGATGGTGTATACACGGTGGTTTTAAAAGATGAAAGGGTACCTAAGTGTGGGTGTATACTGCCTGTCCATGACAACAAAGCAATTTACTTTGGGAGTGTGATACAGGGACTGTGTTGGACGGGCTAACATTTGTACACAAGTGGGACAGGGGAGGATAGTCAGTGTGGTGTTCTACAGTGTTTGTTGAGTCGGCGTGGGGTGAATACCTGAAGATGTAAGTACAGATATGGAATAAATAAATAAATAAAAATCCTGACACTACCTACACAAAAGAAGGGCTAAATATCTACATAGGAGTTGAAAGAAGGAGACGCTGTCTCTCGTCGTATGGAAGCGCCATCCGCATCATATCCCCCTTCATGTTGATCTACTCGTCCTCGTTGAAAAATCGGCTCTGACCAGTGGTATTGGCTAGCAGGACGGACTCTATCAGCTTTTGTGAGGTGCTATGTCATCACTCCTTTGTATCCCAAACAACCGCGGAGACTCATCTACAGCCACCACAGTACCTATAAAAGACAAGAAGAAGGAATGGTGGGTAGGGTACAAGACCTGAGAAAAGTTCACAATGAATGAGTGAGTGGGGGTCAACGACAAGTGAAGAATGTATAAAGGCGGGTTTCCTCGCTTGGTCAAGTTGCGTTACGTTCTGGCACCATAGATGGTGGAAGCACAAAACAGATGCCTCTGTGGTGCTCAACCTACCTACCTGCTCGTACGCATTCACGAAGAAAAAAATACTACATCAGTGCCGCATCATGATGTACAAACGGACTCCCTCCCCCTGTCTGTCAAGTCCCAAATCCCGGGCCTGGTGTCAAGGTCCGTATCTGGCGCGGCTGAGTTCGGAGCTCGTGGATGAAATGGCGAGTGATGAAAGGGACAGATGAAGGAGACCACAAAACCACCACAACCTCCACTCACATTACAACAAGAGCGGCGACACCAACCGGCGGCCGCACCGCATTCCACACATTGAAAAGGGAAGCAAACGGCTACTTGCAGATCTTGACTAGGGCTCGATGTGTATATGCAGAGTATCTGTCATTTTTTTTTTCTCCCTCTCTTTCTTGTGGTTGCCTTTTCTATTATTCTCTGTACTGTGAACTACTGTGGTGGGTTTGTGGACGTGTAGTACAATATCGTACTGTGTGTGCGAGTCTATGTATGTACACACGAGATACACAAGCATGGAGAACTGAGTGGTGCAGTGGGGGTAGGTAGGTATGTATATATACAAGTAGTTAGTTGAGATGAGCTGGGTGGTAACCTAACTCATAGGGTAGACTAGATGGTGGGTTAGACAAAGAAGACTGAAGCTGAGGGCTTCCTGTAGGAAAAAGGATAAGTAGACCGAGTTTCATGAAGAGGCAGTGACTGTCTGGCAGCTACACTACACTACACGAGAGAGCCCAACGGTGGTGATACATACATGCCGCGGCGGTTTGGACGCCGGTTTGAAGTAGAACCTAGTGTACTAGCTTGTGCTTGTGCTTGTGTTTTGGGAACACGACACAGTTTGTGTCCGAAATGGAAGTTACGTTACCTACGAGGGTTCGCTTTTTTGGTGTCACGGTGTCAGTCATGATGTCGTCTCGGGAAGCCGGTCGGTCGGTCGGTCGGTCAGTCGGCCGCCGGCCGGGGAAGCGGAATGCTTCGGATAGAATGGGCAGTCTAGTATCTCCGAGAGGCAGGAAGGGACACAGTAGGTTAGAATTACTAGTGGAATTTGCAAGTCACTGAACGTGGGCGAACGACAACCCGCACCGATACAGGAGAGGGAACAATTGCAACAGCGTTTGTGACCGCTTGTGAAGAAATGATGGTTTGGAAGTAAAGAAGTAAAAGGAAAGTGATTATCTATTCTCATGGGTTGGGTGGTATTCTACCAGTCAGTTTGCCAATGTGCCAGTTCCTGGGCTTCCACTCAGTGACATCAATTCCAAGCGTTCCATGGCGTCAAAATTCGACAATGTTTGCTTCCCCAAAGCGTGACCGGACAAGGGGGCCGGAACGGTGGGTAGTGGTGGTGTCAAACAATGCACCCCTTACTAACCAAAATTGTCAGGAAACTAAAGGGAGATTGATTGCTTTATGCAGTGTGCAGGAAGCATGAACCGAGGCGTTTTTTTGGGTAGCTTTCTGTCCATGACACCGTTGATGTACGTACAGGTTTTTTGTCTATTCTCTGTTCCTTCTTCTCTTTTCTTTTTTCGCGGCCGGTAAGTTGTTCCGAACCCGCCCATCCACCTACCTGCTCATTCTTGCAAACCATTCCTTTTCTTTTCCCCAAGATCACGGCATTTGTCACTGGCCAAGATATCATGTCGACGGACACTGCCTGACTAGCAAGCGTAAAAAAAAAAAAGCCCCAAAAACGAAAAAGAAAAAATAAATAATTTTGGACGACAGTCGACATCATCAATCGTGTTCTGATCCCAAACCGTAGGTGACAGGTCTTTTGGTGGCTTGGCTGTCAAAATGCTCCGCAGGGCATCAAGTGATGGAGGGCGTGTCGAAGCCATGAAGAGTAGGTAGGTATACAGTATGTGGCTTTTTGGGAAGAGGAAGAGACTTGTTTGATAATTTCTCGTCCTTACTTGGTTTTCCTTCTCGTGGGACATCTTTCGTCAGAGTGCAGTGGTCAGTGGTCAACTCTGGCAACGGGATGCAGACTGTCCCGTCCCGCTATGCGAACGGAGGTTGATAGTGAAGTTGATAAGTCGTGGTAAAAATGGTGGACTACGAGAAGAGGATGACTTTTGGGAGGCAATGATGGCCAAATGCGATGGTGGTGGGAAGTGGTGACGAGATCAAGAAGAGATTTTACATCGATTTTACTTTGGGTCCTCCTTTTGGCGCGCTCTTTAGACACAGAAGTTCATGATGCTTTGACGTTATTCTAATCTTGAACCAGGGTTCTCGATCAGATATAAATGCAGTGTGCTCGCATGAGCATTTCCACAACGTCTCCTTTTAACTGAAGGTTATTCATCAAAAGCTCAATGTTCTTCAGTCAAATTGTTTTTGTTTCAAATCTAGCTGGCCCATCGTTTATTGATGTTCATAGACTCCGAGTCAGAGCGAAACAACTACCATGTTGAGAGGTAAAAGGTGCTGCTATACCATGCTACACCTGTTAGAAAGTCTCGTTCGTCAAATTATCCAATTGATGTGCTCGCGGATAATGATCGTTGATGGGGCATATAACCAAGATCTATGTCGATCCACTCAGTCCTGGATTGCTTTTGTTCTGGCATGATTTTTGTGGGAACCAAAAGCTGCAAAGTAACAGCAAAAAGATGAAATATCTCGTATGAAATAAACCCTCGATCCACCCAGGGGTCGAACCTGGAACCTCCTGATTCGTAGTCAGACGCTCTGCCATTGAGCCAGCGGACCGTATTGTGATTTGACTTCTTTGGTGGCAGTTTATACGTTCATCTAGATAATTCGAAACATTGGCCCCTCTGTCTGGAATTTATCTTTGCAGTTAAAGAATTCCATGTTTCTTTGAACAGCACATGTTCAACTTTCGTACACTAGAATTAAAATCTTGTTGGTCACCGATGAAACCTACTTCTGATATCAAAAGAACAGTGAAGACGTAGGGAAGACAAAGAGGAGGAAATAAAAGAACATGTACATAAAACCATGTTCATTATCCCATGTCAATGCGCCCTCTCTTTTCTGATAGTCACTAGCTCATCTGGGGCCCTCCAACTGGGATTACTATCAAACTCTCCAAGTGTCAGTGGACAATTGAACTTGGTCCGACTTCATCCTCCTTTTATTTGTGCTCAAGGATAATGGTTCTTGACATCCCACAGTATTCACGCTTGTATTGTAGTATCAACACCAAGGTAGGTCTGTGGTACGGCCAACACCCATCTTCTTTGCAAAGTAACAAATGGAGAGATGAGACAGGGAGCGGACACACGAACGAAGAAAAGAGAATTCTATATGAGAAGTAAAACACACATCGCTAGCGTCTTGAGTAAGGATCGCCGGTCCGGGAGTGTGCGAATGGGATGAGAATTTTTCTGGGATACTGCCTGTGGAAGTCTTGTGTGAGTGAGAGTATCATCCCAGCCCAATTCCTCGACGAATAGTGTAGCTATATGTCTCGGAGGATGAGACTGGGATCGTGAAATAAAAATCTTTAGCGCAGCAGTGGTGAGAAATAGGTTTACAATATCGCTCAGCTGTGATGACTCTTACAACGTCAGTCGCCAAGTGCGGAAATCTCCTGAATAGGAAGGGGTAATAGAGCATTGTCTACACACCAGCAGCTTGTTCCTGGCCATGGTGATGAAGACGATGGCTGGATGTAGATGTGTTCTTCGGAATGGGGTGAGTACTAGTGAGTAGATAGCTAGGTAGCTCAAAACACATTGAATGGGTGATGATCGCTTTGAGTGACGAGAAGACTCGCCAGACTCGACCGCAGACATTATCCGATAACTTAGAAGAAGTGTTGGTAGATTTCAGGCTCGTCTGGACGAATACAGCTCTTGGATGGGTTGGTCGTAGACCATAAGAGGGTTGAAGAGTGAACCGATGCCGCTCCTTGGTGATGCTGGTCCTGGGAAAAAAACAATGCCATCTCTCAGCATCAATTGAATTCTAAAGTCGCTCAACCGAGGCCCACGATGTCCACTGTAAGGATGAAAATGTGACTTGGCGAGAATTACGAAGCTCTTCAATGAAATGCCACACCATCTTATCGATGAAAAACTCACGTCGATATCGCTGCTCAACATCAATAACAAAACCTGAACTTATGGCGGAGTCTGAAACGAAGCAATCAGGTCTTATTGTCAACAACTTCCTTTCACTATCTCCAGGGGATGGCAATAAAGCAATCTCAGGGTGACTCAGATGGCTCATAATCGGCAACAGTACAGATGACAGGACCGGTAGGTAAACAATCGGGGCATCACACTGCCGCCAAAAATAACAACCATTGATATCTACGTGTGTCAAGCAGCACGATCCTGACTCCTTCCAAGGATGAAATAGGCCCACATTTGTTGCGGAGTCCCACCAGGAGTGATCGTTGGATATAAAGCTGTTGTCCCGTATGACAAAAAGCTGTTGACGGATTGGTTATCAGGAGAACTTGCCTGAGCAGGTTGATCTGAACCATGCTTCACCCACCGTTATACTTTCCGCGTAACATTCGATAATTGCCAGTCTACATCGAGCAGGCGAAGTATCTGGCTCATGTAGTGTATCTCGCGGACTGGCAGGAGGACGGTTTCTCATAAGCGTCTGAAGGCCCCTGCCAAATCGCCCCCTAAACCACATAGCTCGTAAACCATATCCTATCCTTGGAATGACGGTAGTACCGAGCTACGCCATAGAGCGGCTATCTCGATGACGTCTGAACTTGAACGTGACCCGTTCCCGATCAGGGGCTCGGCATCCTTGCTGGTTATAACAGCGTATGGGTCTCAACCACATCCATTCCGTCATAAACTCCAGGGCTGTGTACGGCGTGCGCGCCTCACTCCGCGAGTGAACTGGTGATCCGGTCACTCATTATCGTCAGCAGCATCTCCAGCATCATCCTGCTCGCTTTCAGCGTCGTCATCCAACTCCTCCTCAAAATCATCCTCTCCGCTACCCCAATCATCACCAACCTCCTCTTCATCCTCATCATCCGACTCTTCGGCCTTCCTCTTCTTCCCCATGCCCGGAGCGGGCGGCTTCGGCACATCATCCTTCCTGACAAAGACATAACTCCTCGCCGGCCTCTCCTCGCCCTTCCAAGCACCCTCGGCCGCCTCCCCCTTCTTGTTCCTGACGACCCCGAGCGTCCTAGCATGGTGATAGCCCGGATACGCCCTCGCCTGGAACTTGAAGCTCTTCTCGACAGCCAGGTCCGAGTGCCTTGCCAGATCCCTAATGTTCCACAGCGTGTAGGGCTCGCCCTCGAACAGGGTGACGATCACCGAACCGCCGGGGGCCAGCGAGAGCAAGGAGCGCTTGAAGAAGTCGACCAGCAGCTCCTGGTTGTAGCGCACCTGGCGGTTGACGTCGGTGGACTTGCCGCCGACGTGCGGGAAGTTGAAGATGATGCGGTCCATGGTGCCGACCTGCTCGACCCGGCCCGCCTGCTTGTCTTTGGTCTTGGCCTTGTGGGCGAAGGGCGCCATGCGCCGCGCGTCGACGTTGTAGAGAACCTTGCAGCCGGGCACGGCGAGGATCTTGTCGACGTTGGCGCGCACGTGGGGGTATTTCGCGGATAGCTCGTCGAGGTCCTTTTCGTAGATGGAGGCGGTCAGGTTGGTGCAGCGGTGGTGCTCGACCAAGGAGGCGGCGAAGCTAAGGTCGCCATCGCCGACAAGGAGGATGTTTTCGTCGGGGCTGAAGGGTATTGTTGGATCGGAATGCTGCTTTTGCTTGTGTTGCTTCTTGTTCGTGGAGCTGGACGTCGAGGAAGAAGAAGAGGGGAGCGGGGGCGGGGCTGCGGAGGTTGCGGAGGCGGAGCGGGAGGGCTTTGTGGATTGTTGCTTCGGTTTTTGGTGTTGCGCGGGGCCGTGGCCGTGGCCGTGAGCGGACGAGCCGTGGCTCTTTTTCTGCTTCTTTGCCGGTGGACCGCCACCACCACCACCACCACCACCACCTTGTTTCGCAGCCTTTGCGGCCTGGAGAAGACGACCACCACCCTTCTTTCCCATGTTGTCTTGTTGGGGCACAGCAGCCTTGTTCTTTACAGTACCCTTCTACGATACTGTGTATGCCAACCAAGTGCGTGGATGCGGTGACCAGTCCGTCTCTGCTCTGCAATCTGGAGTAACCCCAGCTGCAAGAAGAAAAAAAAAGCGGGTTCCGGGGGTTCGGGCGTTCGGGGGGCACGGAGGGCCGGGGGGGTGGTCGCGGCGGGAATGCGGGATTGAAAAATTCAGGGTCCGGATGGACGGAGATTGGCCCGGCATGGGTGAGATTGCCTGGCTGAGGTGGACGGGGGAGTGCCACTGAAGAGAGCCTGTGTCAGGGCGCGCTGTGAGTGCTGAAAATTACCTCTACGTACGTCTCCCACCTATGGTAGGTTGTTTCCGCTTTTGTGTTCGGTTCCATCCGGCAGGAACCAGATCATGGAGTGCCGTGCATGGGCCCCGCTGTGTCCAGTCCTGTGCCCCACCATTTCTATCCACTGAGAGAAAGCCCACAGGTGAACCCTAGCAGGCGGCTCCGGGACGGGACCTGGCGGGTTGCGCTTGGCCCCACGTGAGAGGTACGGGGGCGACAACAACGAACGGTTCCATGCCTGTACCTCGCCCGTGGTGTTTTGCTTTATGAACCTTGTGTGTGCCGTTGCCGCCGCGACATTACTGTATGGTGGAATAGTCGCAAGAGTTTCTGATATCGGGAATCATCCATGATTGACATGGAAGTCTAGAACATTCACCTCTTATGTTCCTATGGAACGAGGGACGGGAGCTAGGTAGTTGGGACGAGCACGGAGGCGAAGAAAAGTCAATATGCACAGCATGCGGTGGGCATCTCAGTTATCAAGCCTGGGAGATCAACCTTCCTGCCCTTGCCCTAAATGACCAGCCTCATTCGAACCCCTTTCCATTATATTGAAGCGTTCCGCCTTCTCGCCTGAGTGTGACTCTGGTTATTTTGAAGATGGTTTGGCATGATATGAGGCTCCCATGTCAGCTGCCCGGTCCTCGCTGTCTACCTTGGGGACGGGAAGCTGCGAGCTTGATACCACCTATTGACAAGCTGGAAATGTGACGAGCCGGAACTGAGGATGTTGATGTATGAAAACAATGCAGCTCTGAAGCCTTCGGTGATGCCGTGATAAGTATAAAAAAATCAGCATTTACTGCAGCGGAAGTAAAGCAACAGGCAATAAGCTTCGTAGTGCACCAGTCCCAAAAGTGCGCTAGATACGGTATGCATGGTACCTACTGCAGGTCCAAATGGTACGATGACATGTTGCATTGAGGGTGAATTTCAAGGTATGAGCAGCATGAGGTAAACACGGTGAGCCTAGACTAGTATCGATGAAGCCCAGCAAAATTCTTAGAGGGGGGTTCATCAATTTGTCGGCTCCGACCATCATCTTGTAATCACGGCAAGCTGGTCATGTGTATGTTCCTTGATGTCCGCTTCCTCGCTGTTCGACTATCTAGCTTAGGTTCTTGTTGATGGGCATCCGCTATCCTCTCTGGATTCTGAAAGGTGATGCTATCAACGATGCCCTGAGACATTAGATCAGATCTTGATCAAGATCCCCTCGTCACCCCCCTGAACAGCACCAGACAGGGACAAAATTACACGGAAAAGGCCGATCAGGTTGGAAATAGCATTGTCTACCGAGCCAACCGTGGTTCGACTAGGTAAAGGCCAACACACCAACTACGGTTTATTTGCAATGCTTCAAGCACGCGGGAGACTGGACACCTGGCAAAGTGTGGTCCATGCTCGCGACAAGTGCTGGTTCCGAAATGCACGACGAACCGGGCGTGTGAGGACGGAGTCTTGGCAACGTTAAATTCCAGCTGTGGGTCCTCCTCGTCAGGGTCACTAAAACTTGCAAAGATTTGAAACCACGAGGCGGTGATTAATCATTGCGCTCAATGGAAGTGCATTACTGGTCAACACGAAAATGAAGGGGGACTACGGGTCTATTCAACTATCAAACTTCTTATTGACCGTATGCCCAGTCGTCACTGCTATTGTGTTGCGCCATGGACACCTCTACCTACATATTGACATTGGTGTCGTCTGTAGTGTGGTGTATGGTACCCGACCTAGTGTAGAAAAGCCTTCACCTTGACATGGCGACCAGGTTGGAGACTTTTCTTGGACTCGCTGGGACCAGTTCCATTTTGGGCAGGAGACGGAAGGTTGTGATTGGCTGAACACGCCGGGTAGGCCTTGGTGGATCCCAGGCCGTGGACGCAGCCGGTCTGTGCTCAGGGCGTCCAAGGTCCGTTAGTGCACCGGCCAGCCCTGCAAGTGAAGCTCTGCAGCGCCAGTGGTCCATTTGCCCTCTGCTGAATGGCTAAAAACACCTATGGGAGGCCCGGCCAGCGAGACGATTATTGCCCGGGCCTCGTTCTTGTGAGGTGTTGTGTGTGTGTGTGTGTGTGTGGTCTGTGAGGCACGGATCCATACCTTCCTTACTGTACTGTATTCACCTAGCATCCAGCATTGGAGAGTATCCAATGTGCAACACCACCTCAACCAAAGGAAGCCAGTCCTTCCATCTCATCCCATCCTCACTCAGGTTGACGACGGACCCGACTGTGTGTTGGTGACTGACAGTTATTCTATTCTCTTCTATTGTCAAGGTCTGACACAATACCTTAGGTAGGACGTCCAGTGTCTGTTCACTCCGTCCCTTCACTGCCGCTGTCCTGCGAACCTGCAGACCCGAAAATTGGACAGGGTACTTCTACATAGGTAGTGAACATTATTCACCCTTTCCACCAGCGGCAGCACCACCACGGAACCGCATACTTCTCAACCTCGACTCTTCCCTCACCCTGCACCTCTTGCTGCCTCTTGGACAGCCCTCTCTTTTCTTCGACATCAGCAATCTACCCTCTGGTATTTCTTTTCTACATCTATGCTGTTGAGGCCTCTTCTGGGCGTCTATCTCGACCTCACAGTCTTCTTGGCAGCACGGCTCGCACCCCTACCTAGCAACCAACATACCCGCGGGGCGTATAAGGAGAAAGGATCTGTACCGGGCTACCTACTTACAGAAAAGTGAGGCCAGCATCCGGAACTCACCACAACACCACAACCTCTTATACACACGCCAAACAAAACCAGCAATCACAGATTCCATACATCGGCCTCTTCTCTTCCCTCTTGTAGTGGCCGTCCATCGTCCGGATTGTTTGTTGCCGCGCTTTTCAGCACACAATTACCAGCATCAACACCACTACTAACCAGCTCACTTTCTTCTTACCTTCTTGGCCCGCCTCCCCAGTCCATGGAATCATGGACGACGCCAGCAGCTCTCAGCAGCTGGTAGACACCAGTCAATCTACCCCAGACTCGCAGAATGAGCCCATCACCAACACAATGACCCCTTCTTCCTTTTTCTCCTCCAATGATACCCCTTCCAACCATGTCCAGCAGGCGCCTGCCGATATTGCCGCCCCATCAGCCCTCATCCCCAAGCCAGCTGCCACAAGAGGCGGCACTCGCGGGAGGGGCCGAGGTGGTCGTGCCAGAGGCAAGGGCCGAGTTGCAAAGGCTGGCCCCAAGATCACAGTAGCCAAATCCTCAACTGCCATGACCAAGCCGGGCACGGGTCGTGGCCGTCGTCAACGGGCATACCAGTATACCAGGGCCCAGGCCGCCTACGAGCGCAACATGGAACTTCGTTCGGCTTACAGCCAACTCGCCCGCTTGGCCAAGCCCGTGCTTGACGAAATTGGCTCCCGTGAGAAAAAGGCTCTCATGGAAAACCCCAAGATGGTCGAGGAAGCGCCCGAGTACCAGGAAGTCATGGCCTTCCTTAACCAGCGCCGTGACGATACCATCGCCACCAGCGCTCGTCGTCTGGAGTTTGAGAAAGCCATGGCCCTGAACGTCTTCGAAGGGCAACGTGAAGCTACTATCAGGTCAACAACGGTAAGCACGGATCGTCCCCTTCTTCACTTTGCAACCGCTTCCCAAAGTGCTTGACACTAATCCACATCCACCTCTTAGCAACTCACGGCCGAACTATGTGAGGAATGGTACACCTCAATGCTGGCCGAGGTCGAGAGGTTAGAGTTTCTTCACGATAACAAACTTCCCTTGGATGTAAGCTATCTTGCTACCCCTTTGTTCTTGTGTCTACAAACTGACAGTGTTACACAGCTGCCCCCTGCCCCTTGCACAGATTACACCTACAAGGACATTTCACAAAAGCAAATGGATGAACAGGGCAGGTTTGCCGAACGCGACGAGGAGGGCGACGAACTGCCATGCTCGGGCAAGAAGCTCAGTGAGCTCATGACCGAAGCCTATCAGGTCCACTCCCAGCTCTCACCCAAGCGCAAGGCCGATGGCCAGTTGGCGAGCGAACCCAACCCCAAGATGGTCAAGGCCCACACATCCAGCCTTCTCGGTGGCACCGATACTATTCCGGGAAGCAAAAGCAACACACCGGAACCCGGCTCAAAAGCTCCATCACCAGTTCCCTTCTCCCCGTCCAAGGGCGGAAGGTTCGAACCCAGTTTGCTGGATCCCCCTCTTCCCAAGGGTGCTGAGGAACCGGATGAGTACGGGGTACGCCTAATCCAGCGCAAAGACAAGCGTGCCGAGTTTCACAACAACCGGATCATGGTACCGCCCATTTTCGAATTCGACGACGACGAGATCGGCTTCCGCGACTCGACCAACGATCCCGTCAAGGGCGCCACCAAAGCCAAGCGTGGCAGATTTTACATGACACCTAACTCCAACTACTTTTATGTCGATCGCCGCGTGTCAAACTGGGATTCTACCCAGCTTGAGGGCGAATTGGACGACGAGATTGTCAAACAGTACGGCCTCCATCCCAAGATGGGCATTCCTCTGTCGTCGTCCACCAACGTCGATCAGCCCCCCATGCCTCATGTTTCTGGCTGGAAGCCTGTGGTCTTGGTCGACCCAAGGGGACAACAAGTTCATGCCTCGCGGACCATCAAGGCAGCCAGGCTGGATGCTCAAGGAAAAAAGTTTGATCTGATGAATGCTTTGCGTAAGTTTTGCGAACAGGAAGGCATTCCCGAAAAGGAACTTGCACCGAGCAAGGAGGAGCGCGAACAGAAGAGAAGGCAAGAGCTTGAGTTGAGGGGTCTCGATCCCGACCAAGACATCGAGTCCCAGATCTCGCAATCAGTCACGCCCGCGCGCGTTCCCTCGCCGGTCAACACGACGGTCTTTGATGACTTTGTCCAAGGAGCCCTT